ATCATTGTCTTATTTTAATCTTTTTTCATACATTGCGATATTTTCCCGTGTTTTTGAGCATATATATTTCCCACTCATTCATTTTCGTACTTGATATATTGCTATGACTGAACAGACACCTAAAGTATTTAAGTTAAAGACTGTGTCCACACCTTCCTTCCAACTTATTCTCTTATGGCCAGACAACATCGAAGCCTGGTTTCGCTACGCAGAAGCCGACTTCTACGAGCATGGCGTGAACGACACACGTGCACAATTCCTCGCAGTAGTCAAGGCACTACCGCACGAAATCAACAGGTACGTAACACCTAGTATGTTTACTAGTGATGCTTCTGACCCATACCAAACCTTAAAACATGCCATCCTCAAACGCGGAGATCTAACCGATCGGCAAATGTTAGACCAACTCCTTAACAACATCGACCTGCGACACGGCTCTGCTACAGACATGTTGCAAAGAATGCGAGAAGTTATTGGCCAAAGAACCTTCGATGATGGTCTATTAAAACAGCTTTTCTTATCAAAACTTCCTCAACAGGTGCAAGCTGTGTTGGTATCATTCCTAAACAACGCCGTAGACGAGCTAGCTGCACCTGCCGACCGCATTCTCGAAATCACAAAATCTTCTAACGCCGAGGTTTTTTCCGTCAAAAAAAGCCCCAAACAACCCAGAATGACTTAACAGAGTTATGTCATACACTTATGCGTTATCTCAAACTTCGTAACGACCGTAAACGGTCACACACTCCGAAAAGAAGCACATCACGTAGGCGGTCTGTATCTAGACCGCGAGAGACGGATAATCCTGACTGGTGCTGGCATCATAACCAATATGGAAAGCCCGCCAGAAATTACAGGAAACCCTGCAATTTACCGAACGCAAAATCGGTCGACGCGAAGAATGTTTCGGGAAACTTCCAAGCCGGCACGGGTTAATGGCAACCGTAGCCGGCGAACATAGCCGTCTTTTATATGTCACTGATGTGATAACGAGGGTTCGCTACTTCGTCGATACTGACGCAGGAGTTAGCGTTCTCCCAGCTAATCCCAACGACCGGCTTCACGAATCGGTTTTAAATCTACAGGCGGCAAACGGAAAGCCTATCGCTACGTATGGCAAAAGGTATATTTATCTTAATATGGGTTTAAGCAAACCTATTCAATGTATCTTTGTTGTTGCGGATGTTTCTATGCCAATCATTGGTATGGACCTTCTACAGCACCACAACTTAATTATCTATACGCGCAAAGGGAGGCTAGTAGGCGAAAATACCAATTTATCTGTTTGCGTAACCTCTTTTTCTGGCTGCAGGTTATCTCCAGTCACTATTAAACACACTATAGATCCCTTCTATCAACCACTACTGGATAAGTATTCTGCCATTTACCAACCGCGACCGAAATTGCCGTGTGTAACCAGCAACGTTACACATCGCGCCACGACTACAGGAACAGCTGTATTCTCTAAAGCACACCGACTGGCCCCCGAAAAGCTAAGGTTGGCGAAAAACGAATCTGACCATATGATAGACTTAGGAATCATACGACCGTCAAAAAGCTCTTGGGCATATCCGTTGCACATGGTCCCTGAAAAGGACAGCAACGATTGGCGTCCAACTGGTGACTATCGGCGATTGAATACAAAAACGAAACGTGGCACAAACCTTCCAAAGGTTCATAGACGACGTTTTTTGAGGTCTCAACTTCGTACATGCGTATGTTGATGACTGTCTAATAGAAAGTCTGGACGGAGAATCGCATCTCCAGCATCTGGATCCTATTTCCGACTGACTACAAAAACATGGCATTACTGTAAACATCCAGAAATGCCAAATCGGAACTGACTCCTTAGACTTCCTAGGGTACACTATCGATGCTCAAGGCATCCGACCCCTTAGAACCAAAGTGGCGGCCATTCTGGATTACCCAGAACCGACCACCATCAAGCAAGTGCGCACGTTTAACGGTCTGGTAAGTTTCTATAGACGGTTCATACCAAAATGCGCGTCCCTTATGAAACCTCTAACCGACCAACTTCGTGGAAATGCGAAATCCATCAATCTGGATGACACCTCGCGAAAAGCATTCTCCACGGTTAAGGAGCGTATCGCTCAAGCCACCATGCTTTCTTATCAGGACCCTGAAGTGCCCATTAGTATCGCAGTAGACGCATCCGACTCAGCAATCGGAGCAGTCTTACAACAATGGGTTAACCACTCCTGGCAACCTTTGGCATTTTTCTCTAGACGGTTGCTAGACACTGAATCGAGGTACAGCACATTCGGTAGGGAACTCTTAGCTATGTATTGGGCTGTCCGACATTTTCAACACTATATCGAAGGCCGTGAATTCGCCATTTTTACCGACCATAAACCACTTTCTCCTTAAGCCGATCTTTAGACAAGTTTTCACCACGTGAGTCTCGACAACTGGACTACATTTCGCAGTTTACTTCAGATATTCGACACATTTCTGGAGCAAACAATGTAGTTGCAGACGCCTTGTCTCGTATAAATCCCATGAACAGTTCCCAAGGAATCGACCTTTTAAATCTCGCCCAACTTCGAAAAGAAGACAGTGATCCTCAGCACAAGTTGGCCTCAACAACACTTAAACTGCGCATTAAACAGATGGGAACAGGTAACGAAACCTTACTTTGCGACACATCTACAGGTAGGGATCGCCCAATCGTGCCGAAACATTATCGACGCAACGTCTTCAATACGTTGCACAAACTTTCTCATTCAGGTGTTCGTGCAACCATCAAGCTTATAGCAGAACGGTTTTGCTAGCCTGGTATGAATAAAGATGTGAGGGAGTGGGCGCACTCCTGTGTAAGCTGCCAAAAGTCTAAGGTTATTAGACATAACAAATGTCCCTTAGGCTCGTTTAAAACTCCCGATGCTCGCTTCGACCACGTTCATTTGGACTTGGTAGGACATTTACCAGATTCAAATGGATATTTTTATCTTTTAACATGCGTAGACCGTTTTACAAGATGGACAGAAGCAGTACTCATCAAAGACATTACTGCTGAAACAGTGGCCCGCGCCTTCGTCGAATGTTGGGTAGCAAATTTTGGGTGCTTAACAACCATCACTACAGATCGTGGACGTCAGTTTTAATCTTAACTGTTCCGTTGTCTGACCGCGAAACTAGGAATCACTAGCTTCCGAACGACGGCCTACCACCCATAAGCAAACGGGTTAGTAGAACGTTTTCACCGACAACTAAAAGCGTCACTATCAGCCTCAAGCATTTCTCAGTGGAGTGACGCACTTCCACTCGTCTTAATAGGTATTCGCAATGCAGTGAAGGCTGACATTCGATACACTGCGTCTCAACTCGTTTATGGTACCATCCTTCGACTTCTAGGAGAATTCGTGGATCCTTCATCCTCTTCGATAGATATGGATCTAACCTCTTACATGAACAGGCTTACAAACGCAATGCGTTTGCGAGAAACGGAAATTTCAATATATTGATAGCTTATCAAACATATCTTCGATCTCCTTGCTTCTGCCTTTTGATTTCACTTGGTGGGTACGATTCATATTAGAAGGTGTTACTGGTTAAAGCGTTGTCTAGAACATTTGAACGATTACGGCACGCAAGACACAAGTTTACATTCTATATCCTCTCGATTTTCCCTTGTACTATATATAACATTTTTGGAAAGGAACCCGAATTTAATATGCTTATATATTTTTATTACTTTTCTATTTCAAAAAAGAAAAAAACAAAAAAAGACGCTACTATACCTAGCAAGCTATCGAAAGAGTGTTTATCGAAGAAAAACCCGTTGGGTTTAAACTTCTGGCTGGCCACGTCTTAGGGTCATCACTACCGCACTAGGAGGAAGTGATCTGTAGCGGTAAATAATTCCCCAAAATCAAATAGCTCTGTAAGTTTTCGACATTGGATGCTGACCACAGTTTTAGTGGACTCATCTAGCTGAAGGCGCTCGGTCAAGCATCCGCACCAGATCACGTGTGGGAACGCCGTGCTCAACATCTGCCGCAATCGCTAGCCAGATTAGTTCAAACGATCCTCGATATGTTGATAGCTTATCAAATATATCTTTGATCTCCTTGCTTCTGTCATTTGATTTTACTTGGTGGGTGCGCTTCATATTAGAAGGTGTTACTGGTTAAAGCGTTGTAAAACTCCGAATACCTGTGGCATCTTCATCGTTCTAGGAATTAATGGACTACGGCCAGTGTGAATGATAGACTTTCTTCTAGACTGCCGACAAAAATAAGTGTATAAATTCCAATTGTCGTTTATGGAAAGCAGTATTTGTGGAGTACAGTAAGACTTCATCATAGGACCTTTAATTAGTTCATTTAATGTAAAAAAGCTCCCGCTCAAGAAATCACAGTTTTTTTGTTTTTCTTACCGTGGATTCGAAAGTGATCTAGTTTGATGTGTAAAATGTGAAGTAGTGATTGTAGATGTTCGCATATAGCCATGAGGTACTTTGTGCTCTGAAGGAGCATGCGGAGTAGCGTGAGGGCTGAAAAAGCAACTAACAAATAAAAGGTGAGTCGACGGCCCAGTAAGCGCGAACAATGCACCTGCATTTATTGTGGAAATCAATAGATAGCTGACAGCAGTAACACAAGCTTCAGATTAAAGCAATCTTGGAATAGAAAACAGAAGCGAATAGCTTAACCCACTACAGTGATTGCTTCACAAAATACTCTCTCTCCTTCTCCAACATAGTTCAGTAAAACATAGAGGGAATAGTGAGCGAGTTCAAAAGCCAAGACCGTTTAAAATAGCCGCAGTAAAAAGATTTTCATGATGAGTAATCAAGTCTTGGAGACTACTTTCGGAAGAAATTTTATTCACTATTTCAATCGGCTTATTAGTGAGATTAGAAATACATAGAAGCTTACTGAAAAACGACTAACACGGTTCATCATCCCTCTATCATCAATACTCAAATGGGACATGCAAGGTCAAATATTGCCTCACTCTTTCAGACGTGCGTTACATATTGTCTAGCGCGTGCTTACTGGTATCCCTTATTTATCGCTTTTAGTTCAGTCTATATGCAAAATAATTCATTGAGTTTATGTTTTGTCTTTTTTTGTTTAGGTGCATAAATAATTTCCTCACATCACTAACAACTAACTTTCAACCAGTTAATACATAAAACATGCCGAAAAAGGTAGCAAAAGTTGATAGCGTTGATACAACTAAAGAAATTTTGAATATCGAGTTAGAAGGATTTTCGCCGGATATTGGTGATCGTGATAGCATTATAATCTTGTTGAAACATCTTTTCCCTAACGACTGTGTTATCAATGTTGAGGATCTTGCCCAATATATTGTGTCACAAGACTCAATTGGTACTGTAGTTAAACCTACATGTGATGATGAAAGCGATGATGATAGTGACGATGATAACATAGTTTTTGCAGTGACCAGCGTGATAGATTTAAGCCATGAGTCAGCTGCGAAACACTCTGTAGTCAAGGATCTTAGAAACTTCATTCTTGAGGGAGTTAAAAGTTCGAAAGACATTCCGACGAGGTGTAAGGTCAAAGAGCTCCTTGATACGGATATGGACTGCAAATCATTTCTTCTTATTAATGAACGGTTCGAAAACCTACCACCTTCTATTTGTGCTGAAGCTGTTTCTTCCTTACCATCTGAATTTAAATCCTCTAACTTACTTCCTACTCATCTCTTCATATTATCACGAGCATATTCAGAAGGAGCCCAAGACAGTGATAAAAAATACGAGTACGCATATCCTGAAATGGAATATATTATACCCCATGCTCTACATGTATTGGAATTAGATCATAACAGTCTCACTCGTTATAGTGCAAAAACGAAACAAAGCAGTGATGGCGATGATGATGAAGGACTGAACCACTTTAATACTTTGTTATTGATGATTATCCCAATGGACAGATTCCACGACATGTTAACTTCCCTGGCTAGTCATGTGTAAATAAACTGAGCTTGCAACTGTTGTTACTATTTTTAATGGACATGTATCCGGGTTTACCTTCCAAGATGAAATGAGCTTTTCTTCGGTTTCAGGTCTTTTAGGAAACAAACGCGTGGGACTATTGTGTAGCTTCAAGTGGTAAAAATCCCGCCAAAATGAGATCTCGCCTCACTTTTGTTTCATACAGGAAGTTCTTAAAACTTTCAGCAAGCGGTTTGACCTGTTGTTTTGACTTCGTACATCCAGTCATTTCAAAAATATGTAACCTAACTTAGCATTAAAAATAGTAATATTGTTTTCTTAGGCTCTTTGATTTATATAGTTTTTCTTCGACGTTATATATCGTTGTAAGGGTAGTATGTTAGCTAACAATACAGGTTTATTTTATATTGGTTTATAAATTCGGTCCACGTTTGTTGATAGTAAGCAAATGTGTTAACTGTTGAGTTATCTTCTTACAAGCATTTCTAGTATCAGTTCCTACTCATTTTATGCAAAATTTTGACATATCCTATTTTGATTAGAAAATGGAGGGATGAATAAATAACAAAATAAAAGCTTGATGTCATTTTATGACCTACAAGTTGAGAAAGTTCAGCTATTAAGTGAGATTGTGAGAATAAAAATCAGAATATGGGTCAGATATGTGGAGGGAAATAATAGTGCGCTTAGTGGGAGACTATGTTATCCATAAAGTTATACAAATTCAGTAAGAAATAAAGCGAAGTGTGTGCTGAGTAAATTAACCACGTGCTTGGAAGATTAATCATGACGTTGAACCAATAAGAGCAATGATAATATTAAGATATATGAATAAAAGTGAAGGGATTTATATTTGACTCAGAAAGCTTGTATCTACATTAGTCAAACTAAATTAATATTTAGTTAAAATTCCTAGTGTTTTATTTGCTATTCGGTTGGCCAAGGTAAGATGAGTTGAATATATTTTTTCTGTACATAGCTCCGGTTTTGTAATCCGAACGACTGTTACGTCTGCGGCTTGGAGGACTTCGAGCCGGACCGACTTTTGCACAAGTTTACTAACCCGGTAAACCACTAAGAAAGATCAACTTACACTAAATGGTCCACTATTTGGCTGTTCACTGTCGTAACTCCACCTTTTCTTAACCACTCCACAATGCGTCCAAGAGCACAAAAATTTAAATTCATAAAACTTCGACCAATATAACTTGCTTCATGAGAGCGGCCGAATTGATAAATGCAAAACGAGGTAGTTATTCCAGCTTGTTAATCTTACAATCTCGAAGTGACCATCGAACGTGTAGGAAACATTAACTGTGACTTCCCTGCATTAAAGGTTGCACTGTGTAACTTTGGCATCAGTATTTCATTAGGTACATAGTCTCTAAATTGTAGGCGTACATACATGGATTTTTTGCTCTCAGTTAAGACTTTATTCTATATGTTTCTGGCTAAATGATATCGATGATTCAATCACAACGTAGAACCTAGTACATGTGTGCATCGGTCCAAATTGTCATACCCATTAACATAAATGAAATTATTAGGTCAAATCGCAGGTAGTAATGGAAAAGTTTAGACACGGGAGGTGCGATTCACGAGCACTAGTTAGGCGTCAAAGTATCACTGAAGCTAATATTTTCGACACCTATTCCTTTATGATTGCCACTAGGTGATTTTAGTTCTCATAGACGTACGACTAACGATCTAGACCAGTCTGATGAGATTACATTGGTAATGGTACTTATAAATTGTGATTCGCTTGGATATATTTGTATGCTAGTTTACGGAGATTCTTATGAAGCCACGTATGTGTTCCCGCAAAATTTAGTGATTGAATACATAGTAGAAATGAAAGTCCTCGTCCCTCTTCCTACTTAAGTTTACAAATAAATTGTGTCAGTTAATTGTCAATAAAGATGAAACGTGACACATGTCAACTTTTATACTAATTGTCCTCAAATGTGGAAAATATTCATTTCAGCTTTGTGTAGTGTCGAGTCACTTTTAATTAAATGGTCACAATGCAGATCTAGTCAATAGGTTTAGGTCTTCACTGGGAGTAGTTATTATTGTTATTATCCTCTTCTACAGTTTCACTATAAACACTTTCCACATCAGTAAGACTAAGTAATGTTATTGGTTTTATGTCCATATACAAGTACATACAGACAAGGCGAATGTAAGGCAGTTGAATATATGTAATTGTGGCTTAGTAGTTAATGCATTCGATTTTCTACTGCCAATTCCTGCATTCGAATGCATCTTTACTGGTGGTATCAATAGCTTTCACATTTAGGGTATGGCTCAAAGCCAAGTATATAAATCAATCCCAGTTGAATGAGTTGATAATAATATTAAATTGTTTGCAAATTAGTGTTACACGAATGAGAGTACATTAACCTTATTCCTAAAAAAATGTGCACCCTTGGAAATATAAGACAATAGTATTAATGAATGATTTTTATTAATATGGTACAGTTAATAATATTATATTGATTCGTAAAGAACCAAAAAAGTAGCATTTAACTCAAATTGTTATGAAAATAGAAATGACCAAAGTAATGCACTTAAAAAGAAAGGATGAAATAAATGTATGACTGAAAAATGTAATGATAAGTTTGATAAAGAAAGCCATAGATATCTCAAATGATGGAGAGAATTTTTGGTTTAGGTGGATGCTTCTGATTGTGTTGTGTTTTCAAAGCTCTGTGCTTTAATTGTGAGGCTTTCGTTGTTATCTCGTCCACACGGTTAGGGCTTATTAAGCCTCAAAATGTTGGTGTCTTTTCTATCGAATTTTTCTGTGCGTATTGCATGTGAAAATTCAAACAATGCAAAGGAATATTTGGACGCATGCAAACTAGGTCAATCTGCAGTCAATATATGTATCGACGTAGATCCTACTTACCATTGTGTACAAAGTGTTGTATTGAAAGGTCAAACAAACAAGACCCAATAGAAACAAGAGAACAAATGAGGTTGACGAGACGTTCAAAAACATTTATTCACAAAAAGGTTGATTTAAAGCTTGTACAATGATCAATATACTTCTCTACAAACTGCTCTTTAATGATGTCGCCTAGAACGATGACGAAATCTTCACAATTGCACCACGGTGCTCGGGGAACAGCCTAAATCTAGAGCTAATCAACGTTTTCATGTCAAGGATTAGATTTTAAATACAAAGCTCAGTTTAGATTAGACATGATATAGTTTTGGTTAGTGAGAAAGCCAACAAGATGCAGACTCTTGTTAAAGTCACGAATAACAACACAAAGTGTTTGACTTGTTGCCAAATGATTGGCCTGCAAGAGTGGTTACTTTAACAATAGGGAGGGAAGTAGGTAGTTGTATTATCAATTTTGGTTTTTTAATGTCTACTCAAATCTTGGGACAGTTACGGGAAGTGTGCTTGGTGTTCGGTAGTCTGTCTGTATATAAAAGAATGGCTATATCACACAGCACTTAGCTATGCTACTTTATACAACTGTGTAGTGATATACTCAAAAGTAGCATATATGTATGTACTACACTTAATAGCATAGAATTAACTCGATAAAAAGCAGGATGTAAAACCGGATCAGTATATGACATCATCTGACGGACTTATTGACTGCTGATCAAAGCCGTGTTCTTAAATGCAGATTTTCTGGTTCTCCTGGTTGCAAGACAATTGAGCTTTGTGGTTAGAGACTTTAAGTGGCATTGATCAACATTTATTTCAATGATGTATGATATATTTATTTTCTATGTTCGTCTAAAACTGAATATCCCATACTTTACGTTCATAAATTGCCTTCAACTCTTTTTCGAACTGTCGTTACAAATGTTTAATTTTTCATCATCACTAAAGCAATTGTGTTAACTAGTTTTGCTAAAAAATTCAATTAATCTCGTTTTCCTTTTCTTCAGTAAAAATTATAGCAGGTTTATAGTTGTTTATATTTATTTAAGCTGTTTTGTTTTTCTAGTGTTGTTTAGTTCATCAATGTATTTCGGTTGTACACGTTTAGAACTTTTCATTCCATTAAACTTCATTTAATAAACATTTTGACTCTGCGATTTTACGTACTAGGTTTATTCATTTGTAAAAAGAAAGTAAGACCTAGAATGGATAGCTGTCATTCAAAGTTGCTATAACTCATGTCAATAAAGCAAGAGCAAATTCGCAATACGAAAAGTAAGGTAGTCGGATCACCAACATTATCAATGTCGAAGATGTTGTCTAGAAAGATGATGAATAAATAGCATTAATGTTATCAAGTGTTTGCTGTCTCAAAAGAACTTGTACATGGTTGTGTTAAAGCGTTAATATTGCAGATTGACTAAAGCAATGTACCCTCTCTTCTGTCGCGCAAGAATTAAACCTCAAAGTCAAGTAAAGTGTCACTTGTTAAGTATAGGTATCAACACACACCGAACAAGGGGAAATAAGGCTGTAGACGAGCATTAAAAAGAGTGACCATCAAAATGGTGCTTATTAACAAAGGCGAACGTCAGAATAGATGATAAAAATTTACAGGTTGTGGAATTTGTCTCATTTTCACCTGCTGTTCATTCACCTCTATGACCAATGTAAAACATAATTCTTCAAATACTTAATGAAAAGTTTACTTTTGATAGGTACTGTAATTTCCGAGTTTAGTAAAAACTTGTTATTCTTATTATCTCAGTCATGTTATTTCATATACTTACTTTGAACAAGAAGGCTGATAATCTGGTTTACGTGCTTAATAATCAGCAGTGATGTTCAAAAAATTTACTTAATGAATAACTATTAAGTATTATTTTTCTATGATATTATTTTCCTACTTATTTCAAGGAATTCACCCGTATCTGTCAGTAAATGTGAATTATTGAAATGGAACAGACCAATCAATCATTTTGAAACAAACTAAACTCTACTTCTGCTGGATGATTTGGAATTTCCTTTAAATAATACACTGTCGATTCTGCCAATATACGAACTACTCCAGGTAAGGATAAACAAAGCTGGATTTAATTGAAGGACGTGTGTTACATAATTAAGATGTTGAGTACGGTATTTGTTCCATGTGTGATAATTAACTTGATATTAGGAATGGTCATTTCAATAGTGAATCTCAGGAGACGCCTATTCCTCATGCTAAAATAATTCTATATGAACAATAGTCTGATGAACAGGTTCTTCTATGAAGCAGTTTGCTCCGAGATTTAATTTTTTTACTTCAATTCCTCATTGATACACATCCAAATTAAACGTAATTTAACTTGTAATGGCATGGATTATTTCTTTGTTGATA